TCCACGGGTTAGGTGTCCCACAGGTAGTGTAGCTTGCAAATTGAGGCAAAGAACAAGCAAGGCGACCTCACACTGGTCTGATGATCAAAGAGCAACAGACAAAAAAGGCAAGGCTCACCGAGCCATTTATCTCTCCGCCCTTCAATTAATCCCACATGTGTTCATCGGCCATGTTGGCACAATCAACCTGAACTATCTCATACTCCTTCCTAGGATCCAGTTCGTTTACACCCAGGATTGTTCCGAATAAAACGTGTTGAAACATGTCTGTGTGGTCGATGTCTGCAGATAAATCCAGCTGTCTTAGTCTCCTCTGGGTGCCTAAAAAAACCATTCCAAACAACGGCCGCTAAGGGCATGGACTGGGCCAGTTATGGATGCGAGGCAGAGAAATCAGCTCAGAAGGGTCTGGTGTCTGTTTCTGGAGACTCCAAAGGCATCGTCTTGATAGAGTTTTCTCAAAGGATGCAGGCTAACTCCAGGAGCTGATTATAAAGAAATGCAGAGAAAGCTCAAAGCTACCTTGGTGAGGAAAAGCCCAGGAGAGTTTAGGCTGAAGAACTTCTCACCGTGACTGTGCACCTGCTGATTGAGGACTGCAAGGGCCGTCATCGGAGACTATCGTTTGAGAATGTGCACCTACAACCAAATATCGCCCCTTCCTGCTCCTGTTTGTCTCCCCCCTTAGCACTCCCCTTCCCAAATCAAGGAATATTTAAATGGAACATGGATGAGTCTCTTGAGGATGTCCAAACAACCATTTTCTCATAGAGCCCGCAGCAGCAAAGAGTGCAGAGTTCTTGGAGCGAAGGTCAGGAAGGTGGAGATGCGGCCGTCGGGATGGATGTAGACCTAGACAGAGGCTATGCCAGTGCCCCGTGCTTTTATATTGGACTTGTTTGTCTAATACAGAGACGTGTGGGTTTGTATCAGTATTTTTTTGGTAGCTCTACTTTCATGCATGCTTGTATGCAGTCTACCTGTGTCTGTATCGTTTTGTTGTGTTGTACATTGTGCATTGTGTTGTGTTGTGCATTGTGTTGTGTTGTTCATTGTGTTGTAA